GTAATTCGACAGGAAGATGGAACAGAATGTTCGAGGACGTGTTCGGAGGTATGCTCTTGGACGTCGTCGAGGGAGCGGCCATGACTGGAGTGACCCTTGGTGATAGTTCTGGTGGCATAGCGGGCGGATGTCAAAATTGTTGGAGTAGTGTACTGATGCGCGTGTGAGACAACAGCGATTGGTTCCTCCTAGTGTTGAGGAGAAATAGACTGTTGAGCGAGCAGGCACCTGGGCAAGGAAGCGTAAAACCCACGGCTTATATGTGTGGGCACAATTACAGGCTACTGCGCCGTACTGCGCCTTACTGTTCATTACTCCCAATTCCGCAGGCAACCATAGGCACTCCTTGATGGTCCGTCAGAGCTAACGGTGAAGTCGCAATGGCAGAGACGTGTTTCACTGTCAGTTCGTTTCTTTTCAGCTTGTGGAAGGGTAACTGTAATTCACGGCATCAAAGACGGCAGTACTAACAGAATTGAATGCGCCATCAGGTAGCTACGTTGTGTGGCACATTTGCTGCATACATACCATTAAATCCCACAAGCCAATACATACTCCTGCCTTGATATCATTGTTAAATGCGACACGCATTGTAGTCACTAGTGACACGAGTCTTTCGCCCATGCCATGAAACAACGAGTTTAGAAGCTAGCAACGATAAGTACAAATGTAAGTAGGGCCGTAATAGTCCCCCTCATCTAGAAGAACCTGGAAGTATAGCTGTATTATGATTTTCGCAAGTCGTGAGTGGCTTGTCGGCGATGGGTCGTCGTAGTACCATGGTTATCGCGATGAGATTTGGTCGACCATGGTACGGTACATAACTTGTGAGTCAAGTCGAAAGTACAAATTCTGCACTTGAGATCGTTCAGACGTGAACATTTGAACAACATGTCTCTCTTCATCCCCACTTACTATTATCCTCGCCAAACGAGCTGCATCATCCCGTACGACCCAGACCTGAACGAGGCAATAGGCTTCACGCCCGCCGTTGTCAAAAGATGGAAGCGTCTCCTGGCCATCCAGCGAGTCTTCAGCGCGCGTGTTCTATCCATGAGAGAAAAAGTGAGAGAGGCGACGAAGGAAATTCGGCGATTGAATAGAACCGGGGACCCGGAATTTCCGTATGCTTGTAGGACAAGGAGGACCTACCGATGGATGCTTCCGTATTTGAAGCGGCAGCTATTCATGTGCAACAAGTAAGGCTGAGATGAGAGATTGCCGTACGGAGAACATGACGCTAACGCTATCGCAGAGCCATTTGTTCGATCATGAGAAACGCAGACCTCCCTGGATATGCTTACAGCAGTTGTCGCTCGCTCACATCAAGGGTCAATGCTCTGCCGCGGGAACTCCAAGACCTCGTTTTCGATCACTTGCTCGGTCGGAGGTATAAGCCGTATGTGCGTGATCACAAATTTAAGCCATATGTGCTTTATACCCAGGATAGGGTGAGCCTGCAGAATGGTATACAATCCCACATCAACTTGGAAGTTCAGTGGGGTGACCGTATGGCCAGAGAACGCACCCAAGGTACCGTCAGCCAATGTCCCACCTTTTGGAAGGAATGTAGCCTGCATGATGAGATACTGAGGTTAGCACGGGCTGGGATAGACTCAGTAGCAGTAGAGTGGGACCATCGAAGGACCGGAAACCTTGAGCTGCGGTATCCGGTTTTCGACACGCCACACTTTATGGACAGCGAATTTGCACATCCGGAAATGGTAGCCGCTCTCGTAGAGCGAGCGAGATACAAAATTGTAAGGAAGACAGCGCGTACGATCTTTGTCGATTCCAACGCACTCTTCCACTTCGGTACAGCATACTCATACGCTTTCGGTATACCCCTCGCAGGTTTCTACAGCACTGTACATCTTACCATTTGGCCAGGCCATTTATTGGGACGCATTCGGCACAACCGCAAGAAGATGCATGAGAAAGATTGGGAAGCAATCCCGGTACACTTACGGTACATAATGCTTACAGCGGCGGAACCCATGGAGAGGTATGGTGGACGCTTGTGCATCAGGGCCTCCCCCCCACGTTGGGATTACTTACCAGGAACTTTCGACACGGAGCGGTACAAAGCTATGTTTGAAAAGGTTATTGAGGAGTTGGAAAGCCGAAAGATGGCTGTGATAGACTTCTGTTGGATGTAGCAAGTGAGACAGAAGGCAATGAGGCTCTACTAAATCGATCTGGCTTTCCATAGGGCCATCATTCGCTCATAAGAGGCATACACGGGCGGTCGAGTGCAAATTCAAAGGCTTTCGCAAACTCGTTCTGAGATATGAGGGGATGTAAATGTCTTGATGATTGAACAGCGATAGCTGGCCTGGTGAGCTGACTTGAGCTGATTCGTGCCCTGTGGGTTGATTGTAGCCTCCTTGCATGTTGATGGTCTTCATCTGTAAGACATGTAGTCAGCGAGGTCATCCGCAAAGCCTCTTCTGAGATGACCGTATTAGCGCCACCATGCCCATAAATGGTGGATCACTATTTGTATCGAGCGCCTGGAAGAGGCAGTATATTGGGGACTGCGCCCTGTGAGGCGTCTTTTCTTCGTGAGACGGTTCCAAATGTGTTGAAGGCCTGGTGAGGTTGAGGTGTGACGACCCGGCACCTTCTCCGTTTGGGGCTTGGCACTCCCATCCAGCAAGCGCGTCAACACAACAATTGCTGGCGGCGAGAACTTCCAGTTGTGGACCACCGAACATACGAGAAGACCAACGTCCTCAACAATCGTCCCACCGCCCCGATCGCAACGTCCCGCTCGCATCACCACCCTTTTCGCATGAAATCAGAAATGAGCCTCAGGCCAGACCGGCTCGGGTCCCGTTTTCGGTTCCAGGCCCCTTGCTCAGCCCGCGCTTTACGAAGGCGCACGGCCGCCGAGGTGGCATCACACACAAGACAACGAATCTTCTCGACACGAGGTCACGCCGACAAGACAACTAATTTTAGGAGCTAACTTCATTGGACGCGTAATTAGTCTTGCCAACAACAACACGACGATTTTGCACCTGCGGCATACTAACCTGTCGTGGTGTGTTTCTGGGGATTAGCGTGTGCGGCACGGTATCGATTATGTATCAGCATAGCGAGGTCGGCGCGCATGTGCGCGTGGTTGGAAACATGGTTGGGAAAGCAACGCGTGGTTGGTGGTGCGCCGTTTGACGTTTGACGTTCGACGGGCGCGCATGAGGCCGCATGCTGCATGGGCAAGTAACGATGGAAAGTGGAGGATGTGTCAGGGTAACAGGCCATTGGCTGGGGAAATGACGACAAGATGTGCATTGTTCCTATAGGAACATGGTTTGTTTGGTGGAACCACACGGGCTGGAAGAAGCGAATTGGTTCCTGAAACCCGGGGCATGGCTGGGAAAATCTCGAGGCACAGTACCCGACCGCAAGCGCCTGAGGCAGACCACCCGAGTCGGCGCGACGGGATACAAGCTCCCATCTCGACTCTCACCGCAACGACGTTCAGGCATCCATGTCTAAGACGTTTATAAGATCGCCATCTGGACGCCTAGAAGCAGAAGACCATTGAATGAAAAAATCTCCGCCCACATCACGAACACGAAACATCCTCGCCACGGAGGGTTCTATAATTGGCTGTGGAGAACCGCTAAGGCCATGTCAGGTCGACAGTTCGCCTGTTCCGGGATAGCATGGGGCTCGCGTTAGGGCTGGTTGCCGGGTCAAAGTGGCGCTCCAGGGCCAGGGTTAGCTCCGATGCTTGTTTCTTGGGTGCGGGTGAAATGGCAGCAGAGGCAATAAAAGGAGGACGCGTCTCGCGCAAAGCTTGAAGTTTGCTTCTCATCTCGCATCACTCAATCACTACTCGCATCGTCTTCATCGCATCCTCACGACTTGACATATCTTCAGTCAAAGACTATCGCTTAGAGAGATCAATCGTTTCCACACAAACAACACACAACCGTCAATATGCGCGCCTCCATCTTCGTCTCCGCTGTTGCTTTCGCCGTTGCGTCGGCTCAGGTATGTTCATCATCATTTCACGATTCATGTCGAACACATCACTGATTTTCATCCAGGACTCTTCCTCTGCCCCTTCATCGTCCATCGACCCGGCTCCCCAGACCACCTACCTCACCCAGACCAACTCTCTCGGTGTCGTTACTGGCATGCCCGCTGCTGATACTTCCATCGCTACTCAGCCCGATGCCGTGACCAGCCAGCCTGCTGCCGTTACCACCCAGCCAGTACCCGCTGACATCCCCGCTGTCGGCCCTGGTGTCCACACTCTTACTCTTGCTGGAACCGGCACTGGCTCCATGGTCAACTCCACCCGTACTGTTACCGTCAGCGCCAACAACAGCACCACTGTCGCTCTTGTTGCCTCGCCCACTGCTTCCGATGCTGATGCTACCGGCAGCGGCAGCGACGCATCTGGCACTGGTGCCGACGCTACCGGCACTGATGCTGATGCCACTGGCACTGGCGCCGACGGTGCTGACGCCACTGGTGCTGCCGTCAACGTCAAGGCTGCCGCTGGTAGCATCGTTGGCTTCGGTGCCTTCATGGCCGCGTTCTTGTAAACGCTCCCCACACCAATTGATTTGTCGTTTCAGCTTCGAGAGTTTATTTTTATGAGGATAGCGGTCCTTGAGATACCTTGGGTTTTGCATTAGCATTGCGTTACACACCTGCATCGCAATACCATGGGCGTCGGCACTGGCATGTGTCTTTGACGGGAATAATGTCTGTTTAGTTTAGTCATGGCTTGGATGAAACCAATGGTCATGAGGTTGATAGTACTCTTTTTTGTGTACTGGATGGGAAAATATATCAAACATTCATACTCAAAACAACTTCTCTAGTGCTTGTGATGTCTTGTCAGACCTTGAAGAGTTTTTACTCGAACACAGAAGGTTCATTGATACAGGAACCCAAAAAGAGTGACCGACCTCGGCACACCTCAAAGTTTGGCACCTGCACACCCCGCCAACCACTCCTCCCAATCAAACTAAAACATGACAGCCACCCCATTCCCCAGACACATCCCTTCAATCCCCTACAGCGATCCCCCAAGTCGTCTCCAAACCCTCGACGTCTGGCTACCCAAGCCCCAGGAAGCCACATCCAAACAGAGCAACGATGCGCCATGGCTAATCTACATCCACGGCGGCGCCTGGCGCGACCCCCTCATCGAAGCCCCTAGCTTCACACCCACCATCACCCACCTCGCCGCCTCGCACCCTTCTGCTTTGGCCAAAATCGGCGGAATCGCAAGTCTCAACTACAGACTTTCGCCGTACCCCGACCACGCGACGCAACCAAGTGCGCCCGACGACCCAGAGCGCTCAGCCAGACACCCGCAACACATCCGCGATGTCGCCCGCGGAATCCAATATCTCCAGCGCGAATACGGGGTGAAGAGATGGATAGGAATAGGGCATTCCTGCGGAGCAACCCTACTATGCCAACTCGTCTCCGGTATAGGACTGACACCCGACCTTACCCCTTCGCCGGCTCCTGAAGCTATGATTTTGATATCAGGCATATACAGTCTACCGCTCATGATACGGAACCACCTCCCACCCACGACACCAGAATACATCTCGAAGATTTACAAAGAGTTTGTGAGGGGCGCTTTTGATGGGGGGTACATCGAGTGGCAGGCTGTCTCGCCGGTTGCGGGGAAATACAATAAGGAGCAGTGGCCGGAGGGGAAGCTGCTGATGCTTTGTCATAGCTATGAGGATGAGCTGGTGGAGCGGGCGCAGAGGGATGTCATGTGTGTTACGCTGGATAGGGAGGGGTGGAATATTGTTATGGAGGTGGGGGATGATGAGGATGAGGTTAAGGAGGAAGGAAGGAGAGTGGTTAATGTACGGGATCTGAAGGGTGGACATGATTGGATTTGGGAGGATGGGAAGCAGATTGCGGTGTTGGCTGCTGAGGCTGTGGAACGGTTGGTGTAAGTTAGAAGTTGAAGGGTGAGATGAAAGTGTAGTTATGTTCGCTATTCCCTATAGACATGCGAAAAGTGGAGTTCCAAAGTGGAAGAAGAGAGAAGACTCCGCGAATGATGCTTGCTTTTGGGTGGTATCCCATATCCAATAACCCCGATGCGGTCGCTTGCGGCTCGTTGCTATTTATACAGCGTGGTATAATGTACAGTCGTATCCCATTCCTATCCCATCGTCTCTCATACAAGGACGCTGACTACCTCTTGCTCAGCCTCTCGTCCATGACCCTGTTGATCTCGTTGTGCATCTGGTTGGATCCGCTCTCAGCATCGTTCAGCTTACTTTGGAGCTCTTGAACCTTCTTGCTGCTTCCGCCCTCGACCATCTTTGATGCTTGCGCCTTTGCTTGGGAAGCGTTGACGTTGCCGTATACTGCCATGGCGCTTGCGATCATGCTGCTCATATCGCCGACATTGCCGGGAACGACAATGCTTGTGCCCTCCTTAGCCAGATTACCGAATGCATCCACGTACTTCTCAGCAACGGAAAGCGAGATGGCGTTCTGTGCTGCGCCGCCACCTTGAGAGATGGATCGCGCAACTGCGTCGATTCCGTTGGCAGTCGCAGTAGCCTTGAGCAAGATAGCCTCAGCCTCTCCGTTGGCCATGTTGATCTGCTCAGCCCTCAAGGCCTCGGAGGCCAGAATGACCGACTGCTTCTTTCCCTCAGCGATGTTGATAGCAGATTGTCTCTGACCTTCTGACTCTAGAATCTCAGCTCGCTTGGATCGTTCGGCGGTGACTTGGCGGTGCATGGCTTCGACGACGGGTTCGGGTGCGTGGATGTCGCGGATCTCGTATCGCAGGCAGGTAACACCCCAGTCTTGTGCTGCCTCGTTGATAGCGGCGGTGATGTTGGCGTTCAGGTTTGCGCGTTCTTTGAGGACGTGGTCGAGGGAGAGTTGACCGATTTCGGAGCGCATCGTGGTTTGTGCCAGTTGGGAGATGGCGTACTCTGCGTCTTCTACACCGTAACTATGGGCTGTCAGTATCCTCGCTACACTCAAATATATGACATGCTCACCTCGCCTTGTATGCGTCAAAGACCCTGGTGTACAGGACACCATCCAGCTCCAATGTGACATTGTCCGCGGTGATGGCACTCTGGCTGGGGATTTCGAGGGCGTTTTCCTTGAGGCTCTTGACGTAGGCTATCCTATCAATGAAGGGTACCAAGATGGCAAGACCAGGCTCCAGTATGCGGTTGAACTTTCCCATGCGCTCTACAATCCATGCTGTTTGCTGTGGCACAAACCGGATGATTGTATTTGCAGGCCGACGGTTCTGTGTTGAGAAGTACGAAGGAACACCACCCGACTTAGAGCCGGTTTGGAAGGCAAATATGTTGGTCGGGTCTGAGGCGGAATGCGAGTTGAGCTGCGAGAAGCTGCGGGCGGAGGATGTTGTCAAAGCAGCAGCGAGCGGCGATATCCTTGAGGTTGCGAGTGGTCTTGAGCTTCGCAGTAGTCCGGAAGCCGTAGTGGCTGCCAGCCGTGTGCGCGACGCCATTATGGTGAGATTGGGTGCAAGCGATGATGATGTCGGACACGCGAAGCTCCAGAGTCATCGGCGAATCTGGCAGCCATCTCCGACCGCCGCATTATGTAATCTGCCCATCCCTTCTCCAGAGATGTTCTTTCCCCGCTTCCAACATCGCGATTTCAATGTCTTATTGCAAAACATTCAGCTATCTCAATGAACATACAAGCGCGGACTCACGCCTTAGACAGATCTTCCAGCACCGATCTCCATCCTCGAAGGCTTGAGAGCGTATCTTCACACAGACTTCGATGGATAAAACCATCCGGTTTGCATGCGCGGAAGGCATCCACGCTTAAATTCACTATGCGTCATCCTTCGAATGACTTAGATGGATAGACACATTTGTATGTCCAGGTGCGCTCCTCATGTATGACTCTTTCCATTTCCATGGTACTGCGGTGACCTAGTGACGATGAGCCAACCCTTCCGTATTCCATACGACTCACACGCAAGGAGATACTCACAGACGAGAAGTATCGCATCCTCAAGAGGCTCTGACGTTTTCGTTCTTTCCGAGACTCTCACCTTCACTCTTGCACACAGAAGCGCACAGGGCCCGTGCTTTCATCGCGCTTTCCTCTTCTGTTGTGTTTGCCTGGACTTTCTCACCTCTACTTTCGCATCGGTGACTTCCCCGCCGCAATTCAAAACACTCAACACACCAGCGGTTCAAGTAACGCAAGATGCCTCCGCAACGGTCTCAAAAAGTCGCTCCTCGCCATGATCTTAGTGACAAGCCCAAGAGATCAGTCCGTGGCCGACGCGGTTATCGCAAACACAAAAGCGGTCTCCTCAACGTCGAGCCCATCGGATCGGAGGTCGAGCTGTAAGAAACATCCTATTTGTAGTCATGTATTAACGGCACTGACCTTCCACCCAGAGCAAACAGCAATGCACGAGATTCTCCCCTCCTTCGCCTACCTGCTGAGATTCGCAACCAAATCTTCAGCCTCGCGCTCGGCGGATCACCAGTCAAGATGCCATCGAAATATTGGCCGATGGCGAAACGCGAAGAACATCGCGCGCGCTGGAATCTACTCCGTGTCTGTCGCCAAGTCTACGTCGAGACAGCCATGATCGCGTACACCACCATCCCCTTTTGTTTCATTTCCATCAACGATATTAGGCGCTATCTGAAGACGTTGAAACTTCAACAAGTACACACGATTCATTTTGGGGCTCTCCCGTCACAGATGACAATGGGACCCCTTGACAACGCTTGCGCCCGCTTCTTGCGTGCCAATACGCTCAGAGCCCTCCAAAAAGTCAAGATCACACTCCACATGTTGCGTAGTATGCATCCTGCTGAGAAGGTAGCCGAGTTGACCTCGGTGAAGGTGATGGTGGAGGCATACCTCCCGGGCAAGGAAATCGAGGTATGTGAGAGGACTCAAGGGGAGCATCTCAGATATTGGAAAGAGTCTTGAAGTGAGATCTGCGTATGCACTGACTCCGGTCATACTTCACGAAAGAGTTCTAAGAGAGCGCGAGGGCTGCGTAGTATCTGTTATCAGAACAGGCACGTGGGCAAACGGCAGAAAGATGTTCATCATGTGATTAGGGTGCAATGAAGATCAGTTGCATGATGGCATCTCATACTAGAGCTAAATTGAACACTTCCTTATAGTAGAAAAAAGAAGTAAATCACTTAAGAGTTTACATGGCGTTGAAAGGTTGCTAATGATCGCCCCCATGTCAACATAGACTGCAGGGTCTTTAGCTCTTTCCTTGAACGTGGTGAGTGGTTTTAATGTAGTTGGATCGTACTGCTGAAACTATCTTGATTGTTTGCTGAGACAGGGCACTCGATTGGAAGACTTGATCTTCATCCAAAGAACCGCAGATTTGCCTGTTGCCGAAATCCCCTCCTTCCTCAATGGAATCAACCTTAGTTGTCGCTACAAATCCGGCGCTACCAGGCCTTTGCAAATGTAGCAAGAATTGTTCCACCGACCATCTTCTATCACATTCCATCCACCGTGCTTGTAGGACAGATAGTAAGGGCAGCAAGTATGCTTCTCCTTCACACATCCACAGTCCATCCATATCTCACCTCTCTCATTCTTCGTCCACTTCACCACACTGTCAATCTCTGGATACGCGCGGTACAGTTCCTTGCGCATCGCCTCCCATACATGCTTTTTGATTCGAAAGCTCCCCCGGAGCGGCCCATTTGGATTAGACACGAAGGTCTCGCCCATCAAGTGAGCTTCCTCGAATTGTTCGTTCACTCGCGTGAAGTTCAGGCTCCAATCTCGCAGAGTCCACTTACCGACATCGTCCGTGTGAGGACTGTGAGTATTGTACTTTCCTGACATGTCCCATACACAGCGGAAGCCGTTGGTTTGACATCTGATGTTGATATCGAAACCCAACTGCCGGAGTTCGTGGAACGGGCCGCTCAGCGAGCGAAATAGGTGGGTGATGTTGCTGGGTACGCCTGCCGTTTGATCCTCAAATTTGAAGGTGACAGGGCGAGGCTTTTGGTTGCGCAGAGATGAGAGCGCATCGATGCAGCGGCGAAGTTCTGCGTTGAAGTTTCCCGGTATGCCTATACGCTCTAGACCCTCGTTTCCGTCGATCTCATCCATGCAGTCGAAGACGATGACTAGACCCATATTTCCTAGGAGCTCGTATAGCGTGACGTCGGAGTGGAACATCTTTACTGTGATCAGGTCGCGCAACTTTTTCCACGACACGTGATAAGAAGACCAAGAATCGGAACACCCTCGGGCAGTAATATCAGTCCCATCTCTTCTCCCAAAAGCCTTCAGCATCTCTGTTGCCACTTCCCTCCCCCCAAACCACTCTTTGGCCAAGTTTGGGAGAAAGCAGTCAAGCTTCCCAGGGTAACCATAAGTCCAGGGCTCTCTACGTCGATTCTTTCTGTCGTCTCCACAAATAAGCCCGTTGATGAGTGTTTCCTTGCATGAACCCAAGGCCCAGAGCTCATCATAGATCATGTCGCGAAGTTCGCGCGGCAAGACAAAGAGCCTCGCTACGATTTCGCGATGTGCAGCTCGTGAGTAGCGTGAGAGGGCCTTTTCAAGCTCTTCCATCTTGCCGTGATGCTTTTGTCTTTTAAGCTTGAGCGTGACTTCTTCAATTGTAAAGTACGACCGAATTTGTACCTCTGACAGGAAGGATTTTGCACAATACCATTCTCGTGTAAACCGGAGTTCTTTGAGGTATATAGCTTTGAGGTATGTAGAAACTGAACTTCGGAGGAGAACTCGAAGATTGATGTTTGCACACCTTTTCAGGTCTAATTCCGCGTTCGCCCTGGCTTTTGCTTTGCCTTCGATGACCTGTTGCGACGTCATTTTGATGTTGTTGTGATAGTGTGTTCTTCGTGTTATTGGTATTGCTGAGATGTTTGTGACTGTTGAGTTTGGGGAGTGCATTGGAGTTATAAACGAACCTGAGTGTGAGTCAAGTAGAACACTTTGGTCGAGAGAACCAGAGTACGCATACTCAAACAACCAATGGCAATTCACCAGAAGACCAAAGGCAATTACTTTGATCCAATCCATTCAATTTTATTTGCAATAGAGCTACACAGAACGCTTCCATCCACCTTCCGCTTCGAAGATTTCACCGACCTTGCTGCTGACCGCGAGCAACCGTCTATCGTGGTAGCGAGGCGCAACAAGCGATACCCCAATTGGCATCCCGTTCTCGCCCTTGAAACCTGGAATATTGACTACAGGTGTGTGCAGTGCCTACGCGATTATTAGTCAAGTTCTCTCCAGCTGGATACGCGAATGCGGCTTACCGTCCAGATTAAACAAAACGCCGCACTGCCCGTCTTCTCAATACCAAGTGGCGCCTCATCCGGCACACTTGGTGTAAGTACCGCAGCGTATCTTCCAAGTATCTCATCGACAACCGGCCTCGCTGCCGCAATCTTGTCGAAAGCTTCAAGCTGCGCTTTACGCGAGATCTTCCCGCTGTTCTCAACGTGGCCGACGAGCTGTTCCGAGATCTTATCCTTGGCCACCGTGTACTCTGGCAGAAACGCGGTTCGGCCGTCAGAGTTGAGTACGGCCGCGTGCCACGCCGGAAGATCGTTAAGGTCATCTGGTAAGCTTATTTCCTCAACCTCGGCTCCGCGCGCACGAAGTAGCGAGACGGCTTTGTCAAGTGCGGCGGAGGTGCCAGGACCTACGTTCGGCCAGACCATGGTCTTGAGAAGGGCAAACTTCGCGCCTTTCACTGTGAAGTCTTTTGGAGGTGGCGCATCGTCGTGAATGGCGAACGTATCGGCGAGGAGTTCTAGATCAGCCACACTACGCGCGTAGAGGCCCAATGTGTCCAGGATCAGAGAGTAGATCTTTTGGCCTTCGCGAGTAATAGAGTTCCATGTGGGCTTAAGGGCATAAATGCCATTGTACGAGCCAGGACGGATGGTGCTACCACCAGTTTGGGTCCCTAGGCCGATGGGTGCTTGGAAATCGCCTACTGCAGCACCAGATCCGGATGAAGAGCCTCCAGGCGTGCGTTTTGAGTCGTGCGGGTTTCGTGTCTTTGGGCCTGTTGTGGTCGCAGCAAACTCGGTCGTTGTTGTTTTGCCGAAGATGAGTGCACCGCTCTTGCGCAGTATCGCTATGGAGCCAGCGTCTACTTGAGGCGCATCATTGACATATATGGGTGAATTGAATTGCGTTGGCATTTCTACACGGTTAGTTGAAATGGATGAAAATATGGTTCTGGCAGCTCACCCTTGGTGTAGATGACATCTTTGACAGCAATGGCTACGCCGTGGAGGGGACCGCGCTCAGATTGTGGAATGGCATCGAGCGCTTTCGCTTGCTTGACAACATATTCGGCGTCGAGGTACGCCCATGCTTGAACAGCTTCGTCACGTGCTTCGATACGTCCGAGGAGTGATTTTGCGTATTCTTCGACTGAGGTCTCGCCCGCTTTGATCTTCGCCGAGATCTCTGTGGCCGTGAGCCTATAAAGATCGGAGCTCATGGTTTGATGTAAAATGGCGATTGCAAGAGTAATTTCTGTGTAGGCGTTCGATCGTGCTTCCGTTTTGCTTTCTCAGGTTGGTTGTGATGTCAAGAAGAGGAATTGGAGAAGGGGTCTTTGAAGCCGTTGGAGTTGGAGACACATCCAGACGCCAAAGGCAGCGACCTGTCAGCGTCAGCGACGCCATCGGCCCAAAAAGCCCGCATCGTGATAGGGAGCAATTGCGTGTCCCGTCCAGACCCGCTCATAGGCGATAGCCAAACACTTGCCTAACAAGGATATACCGGTTGTACTAATAAGTTGGAGCCGATAACGGCATCCCACTTTTTCGGAATGCTGGTTCCGATCGGAACTGTTCAGTCCATGTCGGTACTAGGAAACACGTGAACAACATCGCACCTGGGCAGTTCACATGTCCAGCCGCCTGATCAGAAGTCTCAATTCTATGACATCACAACAAGGCCAATCAAGTATCGTAGTACCTTAGTAAAATGTTGTTCAAATCTATCGTATTGCAATTACATGATGTGAGTACATGGTTCGATTCTGTTACAATCTAGGTTGCTGCTCTGAGCTCAAAAGGTGACCTTTGGTGACTTCTCGCCAATCTCAACATCTTCTCCTCCGTCGGTCATTGGTGGAGTTGAGGCGCCATAGATCACACCATCATCCCTGTCTCCGTCGAAGAAGCCCTCGCGGCCGTCATTGGCTAGCCATTCCCGTTGGAAGGGCGTGCTCTCGCGTCCAACAGGGAACACACGCGGTTTGACGAAGAAGGTGATGACGAAGTAGACCGTCGCCGCAGTGAAGAAAGTTAGCAACCAGCCCATGCGGTACATGTTCTGCGCAGCCGCCGAAATGATCTGTGGCTCGTACTGGCCAATAAGGCCAGGAATACCCATAGTTGTACCAAGTAGCCAGGCTGCCACACCACTCCAGTTGACACCGGACCAGTACCAGTAGAGACCCGTCTTCTTGCCATCGTAGCACGATGGTATATGTATGTTTCCTTTGCGCGCGATGTAGTAGTCGACAATGATGACGGCGCAAAGAGGGGCCATGAAGATGTTGTAAGAACCCAAGAAACTAATTTATCGTTAGCAGGGTGAGTGGGAAGCCTATTAGGGAACTTACCTCAAGAAGGCCGTTGCGTTCTTCATCAGTTCCCATGGTTGTACGACGACACCAAGAATGGCGCAAAGCACTTGTCCACGGCGAATGGTGAGCCACTTGGGGAAAAGGCCAGTCATGTCACTTCCGAACGGAATTGAGTTGGCTCCAAAGTTCGTGGCGAAGACACCGAAGTAGAACGCCAAAGCGACGAAGAAGATCCCCGCACGCGCTCCGGCACCGAAGTGGTGGTCAAGGATGGCTTCGAAGAGATCCCAGATGTTCCAGTAGGCAACACCATATGCTGCCTGCATGGAAGTGGTTGAGGCCATGCCAAGGAAAAAGACAATGATGGAGGACACGAAGACGCTGACACCTTGAGTCACACCAGCATCTCGAGGCTTCTTGCAGTAACGAGCAAGGTCAGGCTGATTGACCAACATAGGCGAGAGCGAACCGAAGATGGTGTTGATGCCGGCCATGATGCTCCATCCCAGAGGGGTCACTGAGGCGGCAAGCTCGCCTTCGCTGGAAGCAAGGTCCATAGCGCCGAGTCCACCACCGTTGGCCATGCACCAACCGAAGATGGCGAAAGCGGCAATTGGCATGATGAACCCCTTTACGGTAAAGATGTAGTGGATGTGCCTGGGGTGAACCCACATGAATGGAAACTCCATCAGCCAGGCCATGAAGAAAGCCAGCAGCTGCTTCGAGGTGACACTTGCGGTAGGCGATAGTGTGTTCGTGAAGTTCTGCCAGGAACTGCCGAAGATGCAACGAAGCATGACCGAGAGGATATTGCCGGCGTAGAAGGACTGAATTCCGTACCAGATGATGCATACGATCGCTCGGATGAAGACGAAGAAGTAGGAGCCGTACATACCCATGACTGAGCGTGCAATCACAGGGAATCCGATGTGGTACTTGGCACCTGGACGAGCCATAAGGACGACTACGACTGCTGCGAGGAAGGATCCGATGCAGGCTGACACGAAGGATTGTTGCCATGTCTGTTTACGCCATTAGTTCCCAGATTCCGCTTGCATGCTTCGACATAGCTTACCAGACCGACTGTGACAAGAGCGGAGCCCGTATTCCAACCAACGAGGGAAAACTGGTTCGAAAACCAGTATAGAGGAAGGTTGAACCTTCATTTGTCAATAAAAGCTCAAAGATCTGCGTCGTCAAGATCCTTACCAGGTCCAAGTCCTCTGTTCTACCGGCGTTGGCTCAAGATCTTTGTTAGACCATCTCTCGTCCCCGATTGGGGCATGGCCATTGTTGCCTTGGGGAGCCCTGATGAATTCGACAAAGGCCTCTTTCGAGCGAAAGGGCGCCGCCATCTGGTCCTTGGTCGGAAGCTGGACTTTCCCCATGGTGCTGTAATGGTGTGGTTTGGTCGACTACTGGGCGTGGTCAATCCTCCAAATCCTCTTCATGTCGGCGGACCATGGTGTCTCATATGTCGATCGGACGTCACGCCAACTCCAAGTCGTTCACGTATCGCACGCATATCGGGCTGTGATTGACCACGGACATGGCTTCTGGCGCAGCCTCTTCGGGCACTTTCTAG